TCCATGTCCATGTCCATGTCCATGTTCTTGCCCATGCCCATGCTCATGTCTGCCTGCCTGCCAGTCTAGAACAAAGTCGCCGATTTCACTTCTTTCCTTTTTTTCCCCCATCATTTGGGGGCCTTCTTCTTTTTTGGGTCAACAGTTTCATTCCTGATGCAAAAGGTTAGTAGGTCAAGTTAGCCACGGCTAATCGACAGAGTACGTACAGCAGAGTACATGTTGGTGATTAGCCCAAAACCCAACCTCGGACAACACCCGGGCGTCGACGCAGCTATGCTCCCCCGCACCCGAAGATCAGAAGCAGAAGAACAATACATTTCATCGGCAAAGCCCAACCTCGCCTGCTTTTGGTACTTTGTAGCAGCCACTGCAGTTATGTACCGTGCTATACATACCGTATTGCCCGGTGCTGGAGTTTTGGTAATTGCCTATCTAGGTACCTTAGCTAAGGAACACGGTATGCTAGGTACTTAAGATAGGTAAGGTAGGTACCCCGTTCTGGTAGTTGGTAGCTACCTTTACCTTAGGTGCTGTTCCACCTGCATGCACGCACGCCTCCCCCCGCTCATTAACGTCCCGTCCTCACTGACTGCCAGCTACCTTACCTACGTAATAAGCACAACAGGCGCTGTCATACAGCTCAGAGTCAGCTGGTGATGGCAAGTATCAAAACACGCACATCAGCTCAAACACATACAACATCATGGATAATATCAGCCTTTTTTCCCGTCACATTGACGGGGAAAGGTCGGAGATTGGGACACTCGCTGGTCAGTCAGTCCGGCGCTCTCTCGCACTCACCCGCCTCAGAAATGTACCATAGTTGCAGCCTCTTGAACCCGTCTCAACTCAAATACCCCGCAGCTTCATGGATGATGGATGGGTGACTCCCAGCTCTGTATGGCTGGCGCTCTCGATTGAGGGTGTGAAGGTGCGAGGGCACCATGGCTGGATGCGACGCTGTGCCCGTCTACACCGGCGCTGTCCACCACTCACAAGGCTGTCGAGGCATGAACCAGCCCAAGTTCAGAGCTGTACATACTGTACATGCTACTATTAACCAAACGCACACCAAGTAACTACTGCAGAGTTGCACTACAACACATGCCGAGAAGTAGTAAAAAAACAAACACCATAGCTTGGATAAGTCTGTCCTGGGTAGCCCTGGACGGCCTGGCACGGCCTGGCACGGCCCCAGAAAAACCGAACAGAGGAACGATCCTCTCGGTGAGTGGCTCGCCGTGGTCAGCGATGCCTGTCTCGTCCCTGCTTGCGACGTCTGGTGGAGGGTCGCCAGTGGATGATATGAGTTCAACCCGTCGTCATCGACCGTCTGGATGAATATCACAGGATCCTGATTCTGAGACTAAGAAAGCAAAAAATGCGCCCCTTTGCAACTCCTCCCCTCCTTCCCCGCGTCTTGACAACCTCGCTTTCCCGTCCCTTTCCGTTGATTGTTCAATTCCTCTTCCTCGTCATCGCCAATTGTCATCATCTTCTCTCGTTTCTCCTCTTCCACCTCCTCTCCCTCTCACTCTTAATCTCCTCTCCCCTCTCCTTCACACCTCACATTTTCCATATACTCCGAACTCCGATACTTTTGGTGTAAACTCCCGTCCCACCCCTTCAAAGAAACCCTCCCGCCTTGATACATTGCCTAAAAGAAGCTACCCGAACGAATTCCGTCTTCTTCCTAATTTCACTGCACTCTCTTCTGTTTTAGTTCATTCTCCTCTTTCAATTGCGTTCCCGATTCAAGTCCGGCCTCAATACATATCCGGTATTGCTATTCAGCCGTCGATCCTACATCATACACTACTACTGTATCTCCCATTTGCCGCCTATCGATTTCCGTGCTTATTAGCAGTGTTTGCTCTTCTCCCCATCAAACTATTCGCCCAACGCGGAGCTCTACGGGGCCTCTTTTTCTGGGTCCCGCTTGATACCTGGTAAGCCTCCTTTTCAACAATGCTTGTGCCTGGTCTGTCCCTCTCCCTCTCTCGCATTCTCATCTCCTATATCGTTTGTCCATCCTGTGCCCTGCAAGTGATGATCCACCCGATGGGCGGAACCCTGGGCGGCATTGCACCCCCGTCTCGCACCCCTCCCTATCTCTCCCGACCCCCCTCCCCCCAAGGGACTACCAAGTCTCTATCCTCCCCCCACCCCCAGGTCCGGACCCGTCCTCCGGCCGAGGTGAAGGCCCGGATCTCTTCGGCCCTTGATACCTTTGAATGTCGTGTTTATGAGCTTCTGTTAGAGTGCTTGGATGCAAGCCACCTTTTCTCCACTCCCGTTCCCCTTCCCATAGCCAAAGGCCATGCTATATTAAGCCCAGAGACTGCCACCACCTCGTGCAGCACTCACTTACACACAACCCCAGATCTGTCAACCCCTGGCTTCACCTATCTAGACCTCGACTTTAAATAACCTTGGTCTGACCTGTCGGTTATAAGTCAAGCCTACTAGGGACCCTTCATCTATACCACCAAGTTCAGGTCCAATCTTAGGGGACTCAACAAACACCATCTATCATCATGAGTTCCTCAACCTTGAAGCAGGCGGCAGAGACCGCTCGAGCTAAGACGAGCGAGGTCATGGGAGTTGCCAGGACTGACTCGGTCGCCATCGCCAACGATATCCTACACTCTCCCCTCATGAAGGCTGCTCTTCCTTTCATCAATGGAGGTATCTCTGGCATGGTGGCCACCAGTGTCATCCAACCCGTCGACATGATCAAGGTCCGAATCCAGCTCGCCGGTGAGGGAACTGCCACTGGGCCCAAGCCAACACCACTCTCCGTCACCAGACAGATCATCTCTAGTGGCAAGGCACTTGACTTGTACACTGGTCTCTCTGCTGGTCTTCTCCGACAGGCCGTCTACACCACTGCCCGCTTGGGTATCTTTGACACATTCATGGGAAAGCTCTCGGCACGAGCCAAGGCTGAGGGACGCTCGGTTGGTTTCTCTGAGCGAGCAACCGCTGGTCTTTCTGCTGGCGCCCTCGCTGCCATGGTCGGCAACCCTGCAGATCTTGCCCTCATCCGCATGCAGAGCGATGGCCTCAAGCCCGTCGCACAGCGAAAGAACTACAAGTCCGTCATTGATGCCCTAGGCTCCATCGCCAAAGGCGAAGGTGTTGCCGCTCTCTGGGCTGGATGCGCCCCTACCGTTGTCCGTGCCATGGCTCTCAACTTTGGTCAGCTCGCTTTCTTCAGCGAAGCCAAGGCTCAGCTCAAGGCAAACACAGACCTCTCTGCCCGAACCCAGACACTCACTGCCAGCGCCATTGCCGGATTCTTCGCCTCTTTTTTCTCCTTGCCTTTCGATTTCGTCAAGACTCGACTTCAGAAGCAGCAAAAGGGCCCCGACGGAAAGGTCCCCTACCGTGGTATGGTTGATTGCTTTGCCAAGGTGGCCAAGCAAGAAGGCCTGGGCCGATTCTATCGTGGCTTCGGCACATATTACATCCGTATCGCTCCTCACGCGTAAGTTTTCCCTGCATCTTGCCTTTCATCTCCCAACATACTGGACCTCAACTGACTCGCGCAGAATGGTGACACTGATCGTGGCCGACTATCTCGGCTGGCTGACCAAATAAATAAACCTACCTAGACTAGCATTCATGCTCTTCAATAGGGATAGATAGATTTGCGTAATAGGCGTTGGGCGAGCATTGCTATGGGGTTATAACCGGATATTTGGGATACCATTGCTTTCGTTTTAATTCTCCTTTGTAATTTTTTTCTTGAGTAGCTGGTCTGAATACAAGAATGTTTGCCAATGAAACTGGCATGGCGCTCGATGAATTGGCATGATGAAGTCCCAACCTTGTCTTGAAGCTTGGTGAAGAGGGGTGATGACTAATTTCGTGTCGGGCCAATGAAATAAAAGTACCTTGGTACCTCAGTCTGGAAACTTTCAAAAACAGCTTAGTTGAGGCGACGATCACGAATCAGCTTCACGCTTACGAGTTCCGAGGCTTTCAGAACCCAGAACTGTCAAAATTCAGTCACTTGCATGCAATTATTCTTTGATACATGTAAGCAAAGGATTATATGTCCAATTGGAGAATAGACAGGTGAAAAAATTGGTGAGGAAGAACACTTACTGGAATGTGATTTTCTGGTGGTAGTTTGGCTGTCTCGATGTGATGGACTGCAGCAGAGAGTTGGTTCAGCTGACCACCATGCACCACACCACATGACGATGTATACCGTCTGGGAGGTACTGTATCAAAGATGCCGTGGCCTGTGATCTTGAACGTTATCCCGTTAGCGCACAAGACAAGATCGCCCAAGTTTACCCTTTACTGATAAATCTGACGAAGGCATCAGTTCACCCCTCCCGCGTACAGGGCGAGTGACAAGATGCCACCCTAGAGTACTACTAGTCAGGGCCGATCGCTTCACAACGCTCTGAGTATCTTATTCACCCACTGGATACCCTATTGGATGGGGGGGGGAGTAGAACTGTCATTTTCTCACGTGCTTCCGATCCTGGAAACCTTGGTAGAAAGTTGGGCTTAAGAATATCAGTTGCCAATCATATTGGCCAGATCCCTGAGAGTCATGTGAACTATGAGGTGGGATTTTGATGACGTCGTTATGCATTTCGTAAGTGAGATAGAAGTCAATTGATACATTCACAGGAGGAATGAGGGGTTGGGCACTCATTACTCTGAATTTGACCAGATCGGAAACCGCAAAGGGCAGATGGACTCTATAGATGAAAAATATGTTTGGGTCTCATGGTACACCTAAATACCATGCGTACAAAACTAATATTTATAACCTAGAAAAGGCATTGCATGAGGATTAGCAAGCTGCGTAACAGATTACTGAGATGGGAAAGGCAATGATATGGCAATAAAATAGCACGTCGAGCAGTCCATAGCAGTGACAGCTGAAGTGGGCCCTGAAGTTGATTCACAGCACAACAAAAAAAAAAAAACAATCGGCCCAGGAACGCAAGGGAGAGAAAAAATTAAACACCTGCCGCTTGCATGAATCGAACATGCGTTTCTTCGGCCACAACGAAGTGTACTAACCACTATACTAAAGCGGCAATCTTTGTGCTTTCTGATTGATGGTGGCAGAGATCGCATTGCTATATATATAGTCAATTTGCTCACAGTCGCCAAAGTGATAGTCCTTGCGAGTCGATGGAGGAGATTCTTTACTCCCAACATCAAATTGGGAATGCCAAACAATCATCCAAAAATAATTATCAATGATGCAAATGAATACTTGGAACTATTGAAAGACCTGAATTATCCTGTCCTTTTGATCACTAGAGAAAATAAAAATGATACATCCATACTCTCTGCTGGGCATTAATCTGTATTACTGTCCCTGGCCTACCCTATTCACTCAATGTGATACTGCTGGACATTTCCAGCGCGTTCTTGCTAATGAATATCTCTTGGATTTTGTCTCTGAATCCTAGAATTGCTGATGCACGAAGGCCCTTTTTGTCACGCTCCCCTTCACAGCTCCATCCTACAGCTCTTTTGATTTAGAGGGATCTTTCATCGGAAGAAGCAAGGATTGATGCTATTGGCGAGGCTTCTGGGTGACCAATTATTTCTTCGGGTTAACTGGTAGTGATAATTCTAATCCTCAGCCTGTGCCAAACGCGTAGCATGTGCCTTGGTGCGTGTATTTGGTAAATTTGGTCATGTGATCAACCCTAAAAAAGAAACGCGTCGATTAACTACCACCTACACTACCAGGCAGGTTTGGGATCGTCGACGACTTCATCAGAGAATAGCACGGCAAAAAGAAAGCAATTGCAGTCTGGAAATACTTGCCCAGACCAGGAATCGAACCTGGGTTGCTTCGGAACCGCTTTATGGGCCACAACGAAGAGTCTTGACCACTGGACTATCTAGGCGATGTCTCAGAACTGTTGCTCCTATTTGATGCGAGTCTTGGTTCTACTCTGCTAGATAAAGGTACGTAAGAGTGGAGAGTATAGCTTCGAAGTGGGTTCAATGGCTGGATTCATTCCCTACTGTCCTACAATTCCAGACCTTGGCAATGCGTAGCTTGGTTGTGCGTGAGGGGCCAGAGGGTAAGCTTCTGCAACTCATGAGCTTGGTAATAAGTATATGACTTCAAGCTTCATAATGCACGGGACTTTATGTAAGAAGCGACGTGATCCACCCAGGTACATTCGCTGTCCAGCCGATCTGAAAGAAAAAAAAACAAACAGTAAACTGAACATGCAATGATAGTGGCAGAATGCACAAGTGTAGGGTCCAAAGCGCAAGTCTCTGGTTGACTTTTGAACATTGTATTCATGCTAGATCCAATCACATCAATTGATCTTCTTCTACTGGCACTGAGATACCTAAAAGACCTAACCAATGGCAAAAGAAGCATCGGGCAAAAATTAACCACTGTCGCTAGCGCGAATCGAACGCGCGTTTCTTCGGCCACAACGAAGTGTCCTAAACCACTAGACGATAGCGACGTTTTCGCCGCTTGTTGCGATATGGCTAGCTGCCGGTGCGATTGTTCGGCGCCGCCAAAATGTAAGCATATATACCCTGTCAGATGCATGGGATAGAATAGTACCTCTCACAGCGTGAATCAGAATAGTGATACCATGATGTGAGATGCTCTTGGTCTTACAGAACGAACCTTCCCTGTGGTTCACAGATGCGAAAGGGACTTCTCAGGTAGACCACAAAAAGATATTTCGGATTACGGCATATTCTATTCTCAATCGTGGCCCAATTCCCCATTCGAACCTCGAACTTAGGCAATCAACTCCCTGAGCAGCGACTCTTGCTGGCCTTCAACGTCACCCAAACGAGCAACCTCCACACCCTACACAGCAAGGATCAGACCATTTGACACACCAATTCAATGGACTGGTTAAAGCTACTCACATTTTCGACCCTCACAATAGTTGGGACGCCTTGGATGTTGTAAGGTGCTTGTCGGTACTTATTGGTTGGCACGCCCCTCCACTCCTCGCGCGAACCGACGCGGACAATATAGGCTGTCGGGGCAGATTCTGACCCAAAAACGCTCTTCAGAGGGGCGACAGCCCGGACACAGTCGGGACACCATGAGGGCTCGCCGGACGCAAAGTACACGACGTAATGAGTCGCGGGGTCAGTGGGCGGGGTATCAGCGTCGATGAGAGGCATTTTGGTGAAACGGCAACGGCAACAGGCAAAGTGTGAGATTCAAAGCTGGGTTTAGAGAAGGGAAAAAAAGGCAATAGCCAGTCTTTTAAAACCAAAAATTGCGATGAGTGTTGCTTTGATGTGTTAGATAATACTATCCAAGTTGAGCGTCAAGTGGGACGTTGCTCATCTCAGTGGCGCATTGCACCTTTGTCGTACTGTTTCCCCACTCAACTATATGTAATAGTAATCAGAGTAACACTATACTTAGACAGCACGCACCCAGAGGGCGTAATCAAATGTCCCTATCAAGTAAGATCTCCCTTCAAGATAGGCACCTTCCTTAAGTTTATAGCAGATACTACAGTATTAATTGCCTGTCTCGGCCTGTAGCCTACCCAAACTTCGATCCTCAGCAACAAATTTGCTGTTCATATGCTCAATCGTCAGGAGGCAATGTTCTACCCTCAAGGCCGTGCAGTGCAGTGATGATCATCGCTTGGGATTGACTCCTTGTATTCAGTTTCATTCGATGATATCAACTTCAACCTCATTAATCTTTTTAATTTAACTGTGCTACCAATGCTCAACTTTTTCTATCGATCATAATCATAATGCATAGCAGTCCCTACAGGAACTTTTCCAAAAACTTGGCCGTGTCGATGATTGTCTGCTCAACGGTATAGTAATCTTGCCCCGTGACTCTCACCACCTTAGATCCATCAATAACCCTCTCTGGCGGGAATACAAATCCTGGCAGGTAGCCTTCACCCGGTGTGCCCTCCTTGATAATGTCGCGACGGTCGGGATATGCCTCGCGAAGAATATCAGCGGCTGCCTGAGGAGGGACAGCTCCTTTAATCAGGAGGAAGCGCTCGCCATTGGCTTCTTTGCCATGGTCGATTCCATAGACGGCGACTCGGGCAACGTCCCGAACGTCGACATAAGACGGATAAGGCTTAAAAGGGGGAGGAATATCCTGACCCGAAAGAGCCTTCCAGATGAAGGCAGTTGTGAGGCTGATATTCTCAATCGAATCAAGTGTAACGGGAGGACCCATAACAAAGCTGTTTGCAACAGTTAGCTCCATAACCTAGGCCATATTTTCCCCACATACCCTGGGTTAATAGCGGCAATAGTAAAAGATGGGTTCTTCTCATCTCTAAAGGCCCACAGAGCCCGTTCTCCCTCCGCTTTGCTTGCGGAGTAAATAAGAGGGCCGGGTGAATCCTTGCCGAGTTTCTTAACCATAGCAGGCGCCTCATCATTCCAATCCGCCTCAGTGAAGCGGCCATCTCTATTGCTAATGACGGCAGCAACAGAAGACATCAAAACGAAGTGCTTGACTGACTCCTCCTTATGTGCTGATTCAAGGATAGTTCTTGTTCCTCCGATGGCTGCGTTCAGGATAGGCTCAGGATCAGTGAAGTGGAAGCCCACTGGAGAAGCCAAATGAGCGATACCATAAACACCTAGACCGTATGTTAGTTCGATAGCGTACCCCCAAAAAATGATCATTGGGAGAGAGCGGACCTTTTACGGCCTCATCAAATGCGCCGGGTGCAATAATGTCAGGCACCTCGACGATCTCCAAATCATCCTGATACTGAGAGAGAGCTTTGACGAGAGTATTGGCTGAAGACTTCGAGCGAACGGTTCCACGGACGGCATAACCGGCTTCAAGGAATGCCTTGATGACTGGACCGGCAATATAGCCGTTGGCACCGGTGACAAGAACGATGCGTTTGTTACCCATGATGAAGTCGATGATGTAGCGAACAGTGATGTGATCAGATTAGTTCGGATGAAGCTACCTTATGCTTTCAAGAATAAAAAAAAAAAGCTGAAATGTATGGATTTCTAGTTTGCTTCTTGTCTTTTATTTATATAACTCTAAGGTGACGAGTCTCCCCTCAGCTCTTTTAATCCGAGTCTGCACCGTGATGGGGGTCCATAATTGGGAACGGCAAAACCGGCGATCCACACGCACCGAGATTGGAAATCTAAAGGACTGATTCTATGCCTGAGAAAGAAGAAATAATAGGTTTTGACGGCGGCCTGACGTCAACTCGCCGATTCGCAATGTTGAAATATATGCATTTGGGGCTGACAAAGCACAGGAACCACTGTGAGCCGAGGTGAAGCCTCTACGTTATCATCCCACACATTGTTCTTAGTGAGGCCACTAGGTGAAGCCGAAACTGCTTTAGGTAAGGCTCGGAATAGTTAAATAAGTACGAAAACGGCCTTGGTAACTCAATACCAGATACGAAAGGTGATTGATTCCAATGCACTGATTGACTGATTCGAGAGCAAAAGTGGCAACGGAAGGGGGACAGAAATTTCTACTACTAATTATTGTAACTTCTATTTCTTAGGGAGTTCCACTTCTTGCCTAAGTACCAAGGATACCATATTTTCGCTGACTAGCTTCTTTTCGGATGTTTTCCTTTCTCTCTCTTGTGTTTGACCTAGAATCGAGGGAAATTTCAGAGTGCTGTGAAGATCTCTTCGAAAAGTTGCGCCACACATCTGCCTCATATTGGTCATGCCCCGGATAATCGGCAACACAACAGGGTGCTTCCCCTCACACGCCAGAACTGCCCCCGCTACCTCCCCTTGGAATGGTGAAGCCGTTACGAGTAAGTCAATTGACTCCTGACTGTCACAGATTTCTTTTTGGTCAAAAATATACTTTATCAATCAACTCGAAGATAAAAAAATGCCGAAGTTATGATTTTCTGTCATCATTGGACTTTCTTTCTACGCTCTTCCGGGCCTAATCAGTTTGCTGAATGGCAGCCATATTTGGCCGAGGTACGAGAATACCTCTTAGAGGGCTTCTTAGTTGATTAGACTTGCACCATTCAATGCTGCAAAGTCGCGATTACAAGGTTCCATATTGCATTGTAAATGTACAAAAACTGTCAAAGAGAGTTGCAGGTTTGATTGGTTGATATCGCCGCAGAAGACCTCATGTAATGCATTCTCGGTGCCTCGGGTGTTTCTCCCTCCTCCCGTTACGAGATTGTCTCCGCCCAGACAATGCCCTCTTTCATGTTAGTTATTAACCTGAGAGCATGGGCTAGTTATGTCAGATATGATGTCAAGTGATTTACTACTATGCGGGTTACTATGTGAGGGCTTAGCAATGAAGGACGCTACCTAGATTCTCAGCGAGGTACGTACCCGGTCAATTCTTAAGTGGCGACACGTGACTTCGCGACGATTCCTGTCGCATTGGCGCGGTGACGCAACCATCCCCCCTAGGCATCGACACGCAATTCGTCCTGATAACGCGACGCCAGTTGGACCGGGATTTTATCACCCAGGACTGGTTTGGTCATGGTTGGCCGGAAGCGGACCGCGACGAGAGCCAGCTCTCGGCGAAGCACGGCGGGTGCGACTGCCACGGGGGGAGAAATCTATCAAGATATGCTCACTGAAGCGGGTGTAAATGCGCCAGACCTTACATCGCCAGAAAGGCCCCTAAAACGAAGGCGTGCTGGTCAAGGGAGGATAGAGACCCCCCAGGATAGAGTACTTGTGGATGAAACGCAAGTCCCCAGTCCGAAACCCAAGCCTGATGTCCAGCCTGTTCCAGAAGAGGACGATGAAGAAGACGATGTCGAATTTGAGGATGTAGTCATTCCAGAGCCAACAGTACAGACAATGGAACTAGAATCTGATGAAGAGGAAGATGAGGAAGAGGAGGACCTTGTCTTCGAGGACATTGACTTTGGCGCGTTACCCAGTGACCGCCCTACTGCGGACGAACCAAAAGAGTTGGAACTCAATCTCTCTGCACAAAAGGCTTCGACAGCTCAAGCAAAGAAGATTGCAGAGAGGCGAAAACCTCTGAGCAAAGAGGAGCGAGAGCAGCGAGCTGATACTCACAAAGCCCACCTTCTTTGTCTCCTCTCACATGTGGCCCGTCGCAACCACTGGTGCAATGATGCTCGCGTGCAGGACTATTTGCGACCATACCTGGCTGATAAAATGGTCACGTATCTTAATCCTGGATTGAACCTTTCTCAATTTGGTCGAACGGAAAGCATAAAGAATGGACTCAAGCAGGTTGAGGGGATCTGGAAGAGTAAATTCGAAATCACAGAGAGGGGACTCAGGCGTGCACTGTGGGCTGAAGACCCAGAGCAACTGAAAGATGTACGTGGTCCATATGCATTTGTAGACTTGGCTAATGTGTAACAGTATGAACCTCCAAATGACATGGAGTCATGTCTAGATCGAGATGATTTCCGCCAGGCAGCCAAGAAACTCCAGGGATCTCGAGACGTTGGTGCCCAGCTGTATTGTGCACTTCTACGGAGTGCGG